CAGATGCTGGCCGCCCTCCAGGGAAGCCCTATGGCACACCCCGAGCCCTTGAATGACAAGGCATGAGGCAAATGCCTAATCTGTAGACAGGCAGGGCATTGGGCCAAAGAGTGTCCTAACCGTGACAAGTCTCCTAAAACGACTTGCCACAAATGCCATCAACTGGGACGTTGGGCGGCACTCTGCCCTTGGGACCCAAGAGCCTCAAGGTCAAGCGCCAAGCCTTCCCTCACGATGGTTCAAGAGGACTGAAGCAGCCAGCTCCAGCCAGCCTGCCTATCACAGATAACCATCACGGGGCTGGAGCCAAGGGTGCAGCTGGATGTGGCAGGTAGGTCCGAGAATTTCTTGGTTGACACAGGGGCTACCTACTCTGTCTTGATTGCCTATTCCGGAGCCTTCCCCTCCCAAACCTGTACCATTTTGGGTGCTACAGGAAAAGCAACTACTAAAAGATTCACCCAAGCACTTCTTTGTTGCTGGGATGGACAGATATTTTCCCACTAGTTCCTGGTGGTCCCTGAGTGTCCTACTCCTTTAATGGGAAGAGACATACTCACTAAACTGGGGACCACCCTTGTGATGGGGAGCTTTTCAGCCCCTAGGGCCCTACAGCTTCTGGTTACTACTGAGGAACCCATTACACCTCCAATAGAGAGAGAACAAAGACTATGGGAGGACAAAATTAACCCCCAGGTGTGGGACCAGGGGATTCCCGGACGAGCCCACCAAGCTGAACCGGTCATCACTGTCCTCCGAGACCCCACTCGGTTTCCTAACCGGAAACAATATCCTCTCAAAAGAGAGGCTCAGGAGGGACTGTGGACTTTAATAAATAAATTCCTTGCTTGTGGGCTATTGGTCCCCACCAGTTCGCCATGTAACACCCCAATCCTCTCAGTAAACAAAAAGGCGAATGGTTCAAGATCTCTGGATCATAAATGAAGCTGTAGTCCCCCTCCATCCCACAGTACCCAATCCCTATGTAATCTTGGGAGAAATCCCACCCAGTGCCAAGTGGTTTACAGTCCTGGATCTCAAAGATGCATTTTTTTTTTTTTGCATACCACTGGCTAAAGAATCCCAATATCTTTTTGCATTTGAGTGGGAGGCCCCAGGAGAAAAACATCAACAGATGACTTGGACAGTATTACCTCAGGGGTTCAGAGACAGCCCCCACTTGTTTGGACAGGCCCTTAGCCAGGATCTCCTAGATCTGGACCTGGGACCTAATGGGAAAATATTACAATATGTAGATGACCTACTATTCTGCTCTCCAGATGAGAAAAGTGCCCAACAACATGGAATTCAGGTTCTAAACTTTTTGGCAGAAAGGGGATATAAAGTCTCCCGTGCTAAGGCACAGATGGTCAAGACAAAGGTCACTTACCTGGGAGTTCAGATTACACATGTGTCCAGGAGGCTGTCCTCTGATCGGGTACAAAGAATCCTCCAGTTGCCCTCCCCCACGACTCAAAAACAATTGCGAGCTTTCCTAGGGCTAATTGGGTATTGTAGAATCTGGATACCCAACTATGGTCTAATTGCCCAGCCCTTATATAAAAGCTTAAAGGGATGAGATGATTCAATCCCACTGATGCGGGGAACTCCTCAAAAGGAGGCAGAGGCTACACTAAAACAGGCCTTAACTCAGGCACCTGCCTTGAGGTTGCCAGATCCAAAAAAAGCATTCCAACTTTATGTCCATGAAAGAGAGGGAGTAACCTTGGGAGCGTTAACTCAAAGGTTGGGATCTGAGCCCCAGCCTGTAGCTTACTTATCCAAGAGACTTGATCCAACCGCCCAAGGCTGGCCCCCCTGCCTTTGAAATCTTGCGGCTATTGCAATCATGATAGAAGATGCTTTAAAACTCTCCTTTGGGGGCAAACTAAGTATTTTTACCAGCCTAAAGAAATCCTCAGATATCAAGTAATACTAATAGAAAATCCAGGCCTCACTTATATCCCCTTGTGAGGTTCTTAACCCAGCCACCCTCCTGCCTACCCCTGAGGTCTCTCTCCCCTTTCACTCCTGTCTAGAAACCTTGGACCACTGGACAAAACCCCGAGAGGGATTGTCAGAAGATCCTCTGACCAATCCTGAGGAAATCTGGTACACTGATGGAAGCAGCTTTGTCTTGGATGGAAAAAAAAAGCCGGATATGCAGTAGTCTCCAATTTTGAGATAATAGAGGCTAAGCCTCTGCCACCAGGTACTTCAGCCCCATTAGCTGAGCTCATAGCCCTGACTTGAGTTTTAGAGCTGGGAAAAGGAAAAAGAATAGCCATTTACACTGACTCCAAGCATGCCTTTCTGGAGCTACATGCACAGGCAGCTATTTGGAAAGAAAGGGGCCATTTGACCACCCGAGGGTCCCCAATCAAATATGGTGATCAAATCCTTAGACTCTTAGAGGCAGTCCATCTGCCTGCTGAGGTTTCAGTCTCCCACTGTAAAGGACACCAAAAAGGGAGCACTGAAGTGGCACGAGGGAACCAAGCAACTGATCAGGCAGCTAAGAGAGCAGCGTTACAGAACCATGACCTGATAGGGGTTGCCACTTTAGTTCCACAGACTAACTTGCCAGAAACTCCTTCATATACTGAAGGTGAAACTCTTAAAGCTAAGAGTGAGGGCTTTCAAGAAGATCATATGGAGTGGTTCCAAAAGGAGGGGCTCCTTTTTCTGCCTGGGAACCTCCAATGGAAGTTGGTTAACTCCTTACATGCTACCACTCATTTAGGGGAAAAGGCCTGCCAAAGATTACTAGAAAGGTCTTTCAGAGGAACAGCCTTCCAAACAACTATAAGACAAGTGGTCTCCTCTTGTCCCACTTGCCAATTAAACAACCCCTAAGGAGCTCGAAGACCCCAGCTGGTCCAGCCCGTCCAACGACGTGGGGCCTATCCAGGAGAGAACTGGCAGATGGACTTCACCCAGATGCCAGTTTCTCAAGGGTATAAATACCTATTAGTCATGATAGATACAGTCACAGGATGGATTGAAGGCTTTCCCACCCGGACTGAGAAGGCTGAAGGGGTAGTAAAATAAACTACTCCATGAAATCATTCAAAGATTTGGTCTGCCCAGGTCATTACAAAATGACAATGGGACATCATTTACTTGTAAGATCACCCAAGGAGTCTCTAAAGAATTGGGCATTACTTATTATCTCCATTGTGCCTGGAGGCCTCAGTCTTCAGGAAAAGTAGAAAGAGCCAACCAATTCTTAAAATCAGCAATAAAAAAGATAACCCAAGAGACCTCCCTAGGGTGGAAGGAGGCTTTACCAATAGCTCTCCTCTGTACATGTATTGCACCTAAGGAACAGGTTGGTTTTAGTCCTTATGAGATGCTATATGGGAGAACTTTTGTTTATGTCAATAACCTCTTCCTCGATCCACAGGTTCAGACCCTCCAGTCTTATACCATGGCCATTGGGCAATTCGAATAGGATATACACTTGTGGGGTATGAACCAGGACCCAAAAGACTCTAAGGAGTCACAACTATATGCTCCAGGGACTCAAGTCCTAATTAAAGTCTGGAAAGATGGGTCCCCAAAGGCTCAACTCCAGCCCACACGGAAGGGCCCCTACCCTGTAATACTTTCTACTCCCATAGAAGTCAAGGTGCCAGGACATGATTCCTGGATTCACTACTCACGAGTCAAGCCATGGAAGAAAACAGAAGAGGACACTCAATACACCTGTGAGCCCCTGGGAGATCTCAGATACCTATTCAGAACTACAAATGAGTGCCCTTCTAATAAACAACCCCAAAATCTGGTCTCTGGGGATAAGATTTCTCAAGACAGCTCTAAAGAGCCAACACAGCTTGGCAGAAATAGTACTCCAAAACAGACAGGAGATAGATCTTCTGATCTCTGAACAAGGAGGGACTTGAGCCATCCTGGCGATGTGAATTTAGAATTGGCTAATGCCCCTACTAGTCCTTGTTACACCACACTGATGCTGCTTATGATTGTTCCATGTACTGTCAATTGTCTAACCTGTCTTGTCTCTGCCCAGGTCAAGCTATGACATGCAGCCCAGTTCAACAAAGATATAAAACTACAGCCAACTACGGAAAACATCAGTCACCCTTAGATGGACACCGCTATAAGGACTCTGAGGCTTGAGACTAGCAAGAGGGAGAGGTCCAATGCCCCTCACCGTCCCAGTTCAGCAGGAAGTAGCCAGAGAGACCCCGATGCCCCTAATCCCAAAGAATTGGGCCTCCCATCTCTTGAGGGGGGAATGTTAGGTAGTTAGAATAGGGAAAAGAGTCCAGAATGGCGGTGGCTAAAAGACCTGGAAGGGAAAAGCCCGCAAAAATAGAACAAAGGAAGGTCTGAGGACCAGAGTGAGAACCTCAGGTAAAACAAACAACACTCCTGTCTGGCCCAATTTACATAAGACAGGCCCAGGGACAGAGAAACATATAAAAAGAGGAGCCAAAGCCCTCTTCTCTCTCTCTCCCTCTCTCCCGCGAGATGGGGCTATCTTCTCTTCGCCTCTTTGTATCAACGTGCCCTCCTGCCTCGAAGATGGATTTTCCTGCTATTATCTAAATAAATAGAGCTGTAACACTGAGCTGTAACACTGATTTATTTAAGAGCTATAACACGGTCTGTCCTCCAAGAGCTGTGACCCGCCGAGGGGGCTTCAATGTCCGTCACTCCAAATTTTTGTTGTGACGAGACAAAGAACCGAGGAACATACACTCGCCTGACACTTGTATCTGCCTTTCTTTCCCCCCCTGCCCACACGCTAAGAATGGGCTTTTATTTACACATACCGTTTTTGTAACCTGTTCTTTTTCTCATATTACAATCTTAGGACACATTACTTTTCGTGTCTATGAATATAGCTCTGATAATACTATCTGAAGCTCAGGTGGTTTCCAAGCTCTTTATATTTGGAGAATGCTGAGATGAACTTTCCTGAAGCGGGATTTGCAGCATCCCGCAGCAGGAGGCAGCGACAGCGAGGGGCTTACCACAGCACACGCGGGCTCTGGGAACCTAGAGGCCAGGGAGGGGCCGGGGCCGGAAGGCGGGCCCGACGCTAGGCCTGGGCCGGGCCGGGTTGGTGCCTGCTGGTCTCCCCACCACCAGCGTTCTGGCATGGCTAGAGCTGCGGTGGTTCCTGATTTGGATGGATTCCTGGTGGGGAACTTTGGTTCTCCTCTGGCTCTAAATTCCGTGGCACCAGCGGGCAGGTGTCCCTGCTTGGAAGAGTTGTAAGACTCTCCCAAAAGTGACCAGAGCTTGCTAGACTTCAGATGTCGGGCGCCCATGGTGCAGGTCAGTCACTTTTTCGCTAAGCCCCCCAGGCTTACCAAGAGGCCTGGAGAGGCAGCCCTCATCAGTGAAGGTGGTGGACTGATCCAAGGGGACATTTAGGATGTTTCGGACCCCACAGTCTCTATTCTCTGTGTTCTTGATGACACCTTTTAAAATATTGTAAAATAAGGCACTCACAAAAATAGAATAATATAACCAAATACCAGTCACAGCGTAGAACTTTCCTGCATTTGTTTCAGCTGTCTTGTTCTTTAGGCAATGAAGCAGTAATATATATAGCTAAATGTCTCTGTTTAATCCTGCCTGATTCCATTCTCTTCTCTCCCGACAGGTCACTGCCATCTTGAATTTGAGACTCACCAATTTATCAACTCAATGTATGTTTTTATGCTTCTAGTACATATGTATTTATCCACAAAAACAGATGGCTTGTTTTGCATGTTTTAATCTTTATATAAATGGTGTTCTCCTGTAACTATTCCTGTACTTCCGATTTTCCCCCTTCAACTTTATGCTTTGAGATTCATTCAGTAGAACTCATGTATAATATTTCATTTTGTGATAATATTCCGATTCATTTAAATATCCTTCTGTTCAATAGACAATCACACAATGAACATTCTTAAGTATGCCTCCTAATACCCAGGTGTGCTAATTTTTAGGATATAGTCCTAGGAGTGCATTTGCTGAATCATGGTGTATGCACAGCTTCACTTGCTGTACCGTACTCTCCAAAGTGATAATAAACCATTTTATATTCCTACTAACAATGTAAAGTTCATATTGTTCTATGTGGTTGCTAAACTTGATTTATTTTAATAAAGCCTTAAAAAGTTTCTTTTTTTAACCAAGTTCACATTTCATCTCTTCCATTTTCTCTCAATACACCTAGTATGAATTATTTTGCCTCTCTAAGCCTGGATTTTCTTATCTGTAAAATGAGGATAATGATACTCATTTTGCTATAACGAGTAGGAGGACTGGATAAAAAAATGCATACTCAAATGCCTGGCTAAAATTTGATAGGTACTCCGCAAAGAATAGTAGTAGTAATAATAATAAATGGTAAATTTGTGTTGAGTTCTTGCTATGAGCCAGGCGTTGTCCTAAGTGCTTGAAGTTCATTATTTCAATTACTCGTAATAGAAACCATATGAGGTTTGTATAAGTACTAGCATAGTTTTTCAAGTGAGGGAGCCAAAGCAATACCAAACTATTGCTTATTGCTTGCTATAGTTCAAGTAAATAGCTCAAAATCACAGAGATAGTAAGAGTCACTGCTGAGAATCACTGAAGGGGAATCATTCATTCATTTGCCTGGCAGCAGTTTGTGCTACCCTGTAAATAGTAATAGCTATTATTATTATTACGGCTTCCCTGGTGGTTCAGATGGTAAAGAATCTGCCTGCAATACAAGATACCTGGGTTCAGTCCCTGGTTTGGGAAAAGCCCCTGGAGGAGGGCATGGCTACCCACTCCAGTATTCTTGCCTGGAGAATTTCATGGATGGAGGAGCCGTGTGGGCTGTAGTCCAGGGGGTTGAAAAGGGTCAGATAAGACTGAGCAAAGTGACTAACACATGCATGCATTATGTCCATGAGGCAATGTAGGGGAGACAAAGGAGAAAAGGTTGGAGGAGGAGACCTACTTTGTTCCTGGCCCCATGCTCGGCATTAGGGATGCACTTTTCTTGAGGTTGCCTGGAGTGTGGTTCAAGCTTGCTGCTTCTTCAACATGCAGATTCCCAGCTCTCTCCTCCTCAGAGAATTTTATTCTCTAGGTTTCTGAAAGAACATTATGAGCAGAGAATTATGACTTTCTTATGAGTTTGAGAGCCACTGAACTTGCTGGTGAGAAAGACAAGTAATAGATGACTACACTATAGAAAAATAATAGTTTAAAAGGCAATCCTGGAAGATTTTCTGGAGGAAGTTTGGTCTGAGCTGAGATCTGTCAGATAAGAAAAAGTTAGTGATGGGCAGAAAAGAAGGGAGTTTCAAGCTGAAAGGAAAATGAGAGAAGTGGCTCTCTTAAAGAGTGCTGTAGGCTCTGCTTTGCTGTGTCCTACTCTTTGCCACCCCATGGGCTATAGCCCGCCAGGCTTCTCTGTCCATGGGGTTCTCCAGGCAAGAATACTGGATTGGGTTGCTATGCCCTGCTCCAGGGGATCTTCCCAACCCAGTGATTGAACCCAGGTCTCCCTCATTTCAGATGGATTCTTTACCTTCTGAGCTACCAGGCAAGCTCAAGAATACTGGAGTGGGTAGTCTACCCCTTCTCCAGGGGATCTTCCTGATCCAGGAACAAACCAGTGTCTCCTGCATTGTAGGCAGATTCTTTACCAGCTCATTTAAAGTATTTTAGTGTGAGTAGAATTCATAATGAAGCAATGAGGCTGCAGAAATGGGCAGAACAGTCGCAAAGGTCACAAAGAACGTTGTTGGTCACGTCAGGGAGTTTAGATGTTACCCTACAGATAGTGGGAAATTTATTTTTGGGGGAGAGGGCATCCATAGTTTTAAATTTAAGAAAGAACCCTATGGCAGACACAGTGTAAAGAATAGGCTGTGGGACTGGAACAGAGCAAGACTTTGCTCAGGGCAATCAGGAAAGGCACAGGCAGTAATAACTAGGACTGAAATAATGGCAGTGAGAGAAGGTGGGAAGTGGACAGACAGAAGAATCCATATTCATGTGTCAATGCATCAAAACACGATTTGATATGCCTGGATGGGGATAGGAAGGAGTTAAGACTTTCTTTAGCAAACTGGGTCAATGATTGTGAATTTCATCAAAGAAAAAGAAACAACAAGAAGAAACACCAGAAGAGAAACCAGTGTGGAGAGAAAATGACAAGATGGCTTTAGCACATAAAGAATTCGAGATCCTTATGAAATACCCAAGTAGAGCTGTCCAGAAGATAGGTGAAAATCCTGCTAGTTACTCACTCAACATCCTCTTCCCCTTCTTCTCTCCGAACAAAAGCCAGCTTTGTGTGGGACAGTGAAGTGCCCTGTTAAAACATTCACCCTCCTAGACTTTTGCTAGTCTTCCCAGGCTGTTTATGGTTGGCCATACCATTCAGTTTTGACCAATAAGCTCTAAGTGGACATTGTTGCTGTTTTTTTTTCATTTATTTTTATTAGTTGGAGGCTAATTACTTTACAATATTGTAGTGGTTTTTGTCATACATTGACATGAATCAGCCATGGATTTACATGTATTCCCCATCCCGATCCGCCCCACCCCCTCCCACCTCCCTCTCCATCCCATCCCTCTGGGTCTTCCCAGTGCACCAGGCCTGAGCACTTGTCTCATGCATCCAGCCTGGTCTGGTGATCTGTTTCACCCTAGGTAATATACATGTTTCGATGCTGTTAAGTGAAGGTTCTGGAAAAACTATTGTTTTCCTGATAACAGTGTATGGCCCCAGCTGGCATTTGCCTTTCACCCTGTCCTTCCTTCTCCCTGACTAAACCGACTGTGATGCTTGGACAAGATACAACCACTTTGTGACCATGATGATGAAGGCTCTGTGCTAAGGGAGACAGAGGAGAAAGACAGGAGGATTTGGACTTTGTAGAGCTGTTGTATGGCCCTGGGCTGTCTACCATCTGAGAAAGATAAACTCTAATTTAGTTAAGCCCCTGGTATTGGTTTTCTGTCACCTGCAGCAAAACATGATCTTAATATGATTCAAGGACTAAGGCTCTGGAGATAGATCTGGGTTAGAGATAACTATTTAGGTCAGCATTTGGATGGTAACTGAAGAATATTTGGGTAGATACAAGAAAAGTAGGCACAAATAGGCACAAGTAGGCACCCAGATAGGCACAAATGTAAAAGAGATTCTTATGAGTTAAAGGACTGAGAGAGCTCGGTTTGTGGGCAGTGTTGAAAGCAGGCATTCCTGTTCACAGTTCACTTGTTGTTGATGTTTCCATAGCCTTGTTCAAAACAAAACAATCAATTTAGGGCTACTCAATTCATACTTAATCCACATGAAATTCTATTCTGTGAGAACTTTCAAGGTGGTTAAGCAAGGGCTGATGACTCTGGTCATAAGTATGGTGACTTCCTTCCCTGGGAATGGCATGTTTGGGGCTCAGGAGTGGACTTGGTAAACCTCCATTGTCCTGTTTTCCCTGGAGCAAGTACCCCTGGAATTCCTTTTGGGAAGTTTAGAGCAAGGATGGCTGGCCCAGGGTCTGTGTTGCAATTTAACTGGATTGTCCTATCTTTTGTCAAGATTATTTGCTACAGTCTCCTAATTGATTTTGAGGCCAAACAGGTTAATCTGATTTCTCTCTTCTCCCCACCCTGCCCCAAACAACAATAACAAAATCCCCAAACCAAAAATCTATTCTCCCTAATACATGCAAACATGTTATTCTCTCTCTTGAATACTTTTGTGGTCTCTAGAACAAAGCCTGAATGTCTTATCACAGCATAGTAAACTCCAATCTTTCCTTCCTCAATCCCTGATAATTGCTTCCACCGCTCCTCCATCTCTGCACACATGGGCAGCCACCATGAATGTCTCATTCTGCCCACATTCCTCTCGCCCTTTCAAGCCTTGGCAGGCTATTTTCTTGCCCAATAATGCTTTCTCCATCTCCTGCACTCCGTCTCCCACACATACTGTAACCAGAATAAGTTGCTGGCCTTTCAGCAGCCACGAATGGCTGGAAACCCAGGAGCAGGCTACTTCCTACTTCTCCCTCTATGCCTCCTCCCCATCCCCAGTCGCTCTTCAGATCCTGCTGGTTCTATCCCCTAAACATCTGTAAATTTGTTCTCTCTTCTCTATCACTCCTGCTACTAACCAAATCACTGTAAATCTCTTAGAAGCCTCCATGTCTTCAATCTTTCCCAGTTCAATCAATCCGTCTTCCCCTCTGCACATTTACTCATGTTGATCTCTTCCTTAAAACCTTCTTGGTCCCTAAGGAAATCATCCTGAGAGAACTCTCAATCCTCATTTTCTACATTC